ATACTTGAATACAATATGAAGCATACTTTTAAGGGTATCAGATATTTTTTTAAATTGCATATTTTTAGGGTTTCAATATAAGTATTTGCAAGACTTACGCTTTTCTTTATGCATATTTTTTTTTTGAGATTTTAAAAATTCAAGACAATCTTTAAAATTTTCATATACCCCACACAGATATGAATTAATTTTTTGAAGCATACTTTTAGGGGTCAACCAAAAATATTCTGTGAATTACATATTTGTTTATAAATTCGAGGTTTCAAAACTTCTGGATAAAATCTAAATTATACGTGAATATAATATTAAGCATACTTTTAAGGGAATCAGATAATTTTTAAAAAAAAAATTGCATACTTTTAGGGATCAATCAAAAGAAAGATTATGAATTAGATATTACTTTATAAATTCCGCGTTTCAACAGTTCAGGATTGCATCCGAATTGTGCGTAAATATAATATAAAGCATACTTTTAGGGATAATATTGCATATTTTGAGGAGTTTATAGGCATGTGGAATTAATAGCCTCAATATATTTAGAAAATAACACTTAGTTTACACAGACATATGTAAAGTAACTTTTCCACATGTATTTTTAGAATTTTTAGAGCATGGTTTTAGGCGTCCTCCCAAAAAAAACTTAAAATGTCAAAATAAACGCTGTAATTGAGCCAAGAATATCCAAAATATCGATCCTAGGCCTACCATGTGGTATACCGATCTCATATCGAGTTTATAGGCTTGTAGAGTAAATAGCCTTCATATATTTAGAAAATAACCCTTTAAGGCTAATTTACACATCATTTTAGAGATATATGTAAAGTCGAACTGAGTCGTTCTTGCTATGTGTGGGCGTCCATCCATCTCTCTGTGGTCCTGTTCATGTTAATTTCTATTCAAGCTACAAATCGCAATTATGGCCCGATCCTTACCAAATATCGCACTGAGTCAAGAAAAGTTTAGAATAAAAGCCCCTTACTTAGGAAATGATATGGACCAAAAAATATTTTTTTTCTGATTTTCCATCCGCTCTACAGATCTCAATTATAAACCAATCAATGCAGAATTTCCCATGAAGTTCGATTTAAGAGGATGGAAGAAGCCTATCATTTTTGATGGCGATCGCATAATATTTAGCGGGAGAAATTAACCTTAAATTTTGTGTGAAAAATAAGAATATTTCCATTTAACCTTAAATATTAGTATTCAAATATTTTTGATCCCGGCGAATACAAAAAATGTACTTTTATCCTTTCACTGATGCTGAGTTTATGATATAATTTGATTTCAAGGTGTTTTGGTATGACTTGTTCTTTTTTTCCAAAGTTTTCATTACAAGCCCCTAATTTGCCTTAGAACCTATTTTAACAACCTTCCGATTTCCAGAGTTTGAGATTGAGGTAATGTTCGATACTGGAAAAATCCCCCATACAATGGTATTTCGCATAGTGCTGCATTGATTAAAGTATACTTTTAGGATTTAATAAAATTAATTAAATTATTTTCTTTATTGACAAACAAATAACAATTATATTTGGTTCTTTTTTCATATTTCTCATAATTAAATATGATATCGCTTCCTCCACATATAGAACTTTTTGGCCAAGAATTCTTCACATATTTCTTTGTCCGATTGATTCAAAGCATTCCAATTCACCATTGTCCTTCAGTCCTCCTTTTATTTGCTGTAATATTTTCAATGCACTTTTTCGATTCTCTTCTCTTCAAGTATCATTTGGTATTTTTACCTGTTGAATAAAATGTTCAATATATACAACTACAGAAACATATTTCGTATATCTGTAAATGAAAGTCTCATTAATGTTTAATACGAAAGAGGAATATAAAAAAACTTATTTGCAATTTTTACCACTAGCCTAGAAAGTGATTTACATACTAGCCACTAAATGAATTAAAAATGTTAAATATAAAATTAAAATATTTCGATGAAAAAAATTAATCATACGACGAGTAAAACCTTAAAATTTAATGCATAGTTTTAGGGGTTTTTAAATAAAAAAATATTTAGAAAGAAATTCCAAAATTTCAAGAAATGATTAAAAAGCAACATATCTAATAAGAACAGAAATAAGTTAGAAAATTTCAGCTGAGGTGTTGCTAGACATATGCCTCACTGATTTTGTAAGGGACAAAATATTGGACCTACATATCCCAAATTCACATTAGATATAGTAATAGTACAGATATTGCAAATTGCCAACTATACGTTGGGCGCCATTTTGCTTGAAACCAAGAGTTTGGTTAATTTTCATATTTAATATTTTTAAATAAAATTTCATATATTTATGTCCTTCCTTTAAAAGAGAAACCACAAAATTTAAATATTTTACAGGAAATCCTTACGTTGGGCGCCAGTCGGTGTGATTGATTATTATACCCTCCACCATATATTAAGGTTGTCATTCCGTTTTTAACACCTCGAAATATACATTTTAGACCCCACAAAGTATATATATTCTTGATCAGCATCAGCATATGTCGATTTAGCAATGTCCGACCGTCTATCCGCCTGTGGAAATCACTCTAGCTTCCGAACGGATTGAAGTAGATTGATAAAATTTTACTCAAATGTATATTATGTCTGCAGGACTTTTGGTATTGAAAATGATCCATTTAGGTCTACGTTTTGGTATAGCCCCCTTATAACGGTACCTCCCGATATTCGGTATTCTTATGATTTTAGCGACATTATTCACCGAAATGGTTTCAAATTTGGTATTTGAAATTCACAATCAATACTACAGCCTATGACAGAAAATTGTCTGTGCAGGTCCACGTCTTCTTATAGCCCCCATATAAAGGTACCTCCCAATATTCGGTATTTCAATGATTTTATTCACCAATTTTTCAAGTTTTGCATTTGAATATTGTAATGGATCATGAAAAATGGCTTATGCAGGTCCATAACGGCTACATTTGGTATTTTTAAGATTTTAACAGAATTTGTAACGGATTTTATTTTTTGAAAACTGCCAAATTCGATCCAAGTGGTGGAGGGTATTCAAAGTTTAATTTGGTGTGGTCATTTTTACATTGGGCGCCATTTTCACTACTTCGACAGTTGTGATTTATTTTAAAAGAAATCTTTTTGAATTTTTTTTTTTAAATAACCTCCTATTCTACTCTTGGTACTCACACAACAATGTCTAAAAGACACACTACCCACAGACAACCTCCTAAAGATTGTATATCTGTAAAATTCATCTTCAAGGGTAATCTACCTAAAGAAGACCTAGTGAAGTATTCTATATATCTTTGACTTTCCAATAGACTGCCCTATATAAATGCCCCTTCACGTTTACAAGGTCATGTTTGGGCCGCATATATATTTAAAAAAAAAATTATGTGAAAAGAAGACCACTTATAGGTCTTGTATCCATAATAAATGCCGTGAAGGAAATCTACATAATACCTCTAAAATGTATTTTTTTTTTTTTTATCTCTAAGCTAAACGATATCTATAGAAAGACTTTTAAATTTTTTTTCTAAGGAAGGTTTTTTCAAAAGTATTTCTGTATTGAATATTCCCTTCTGTTCTTGAATTCTGAAATAAATAGTTGCATACTTTCAGGAAACTCTTGAAACTTTAAGGTTTAGTACTCTACTTGTTCTACATATTAATAATTAGAAAATAATTGCTAAGTCTAATATCCGGATAATCATAATTAGCATTTAGAAGAATATTGAGGAAAAATTCAAGCTCTATGCTACTCAATTTTTTTGATGGAATACCACATACCTTTGCAGCAACAATCAGTTGATTTTTTTGCCTTAATAAAACCTAATTTAAGGAGAAGAAAGCAAATGACATGATGGAAAAATAGTATGATTTTAGGCGTTATTTGAATACAAATAGCAAATATTAGGAAGTTAATGAGAGTAAATATACTATAAGTATATAATATACTATAAGTGTAGCAAATTAAAGTTCGAGATGAAATTTTATTACAAAAAAAATAAAGCATAGTTGTAGGATTTAATGAAAAAATCAATCCAAGTGAAGGAAAATATAAATAAGAACATAGCAAAATCTACTTTTATGTTATTTAAATGAAATAGAAGGGAAATTAAAATTAAGCTCACAACATATTTTTGGTATAAAATGAGACAGATAAATAATGTCAATAGACAAATAATGCATACATTTAGGCGTTGAAAAAAAATTGTTTTTAAAATGGTTATACAAATCCCGTAAATATATATTTTTATATAGGGCAAAAAAGCAGAATTAATAAGGCAACACAAAATTAAATAGACACATAGTGCATACTTTAAGGCGGTGAAATATTTTGGGCAACAAATAAAATAGGAACACCGAGACCACTTTTAGGCTTTTATGGCAACAAAATTAGGCAATAGCAAATTAAATAGCATGCTTTTAGGCATTGAACATATATTTCGACTTATGGCTGAAGAATCCGATGACGCTTTGAATTCTTCTCAAAGCTCTACACACCTTTGAAAATCCAACACTCCTTCTCTCTGAATAGTAACACACACTCCATTTTTTTTTTTTTTTTTTTGTAATTAGAAATTTTCTCGATTTTTATTATTTCATTCTTTTTTATTTGCTTTCATATTTCATTTAAATATTTGTATAATTTTGTTTTTTTTTTAGGTTTCTATCAGGAATTTTTGTTTTGCTTTTTTTTTTTGTTATATTATTTAATAAATTACTTATTTTCGTTCAAGAAGAATTTTTTGTTAACACTTTGTGCTGTATTTTTGTTGTTAATATTGAAAAAAGTGTGTGTTTGTGAATGGAAAATATGTATGTAGGTATGTAGAGGAGGTATGCGTAGGTATGTGAGTGAGTGGCGGGGTGGAGTGGAGTGGAGTATATATGTAACATGTGCTGAGCAAATGTGGATTTGGTGAAACCGATAATGGAGTTGATTGTTTTGTGTGTGTCGGGTGGATGGATGGATGAATGAATGTATGGATGGTTGTAATGAGGTGAGCTGTTAATGCCTTGTGAGAACCTTTAGTATGTTTTAGTTTTTTTTTTTTTTTTTGAGTTTTTTTTTTTTAAATAATAAAAAAAATTAAAATTGAAATAAAAACAAACATAAGATTTAAATTTTTCCAAAAATTTGTGTTTTGTATTTTTTGTTTTCTTGGTGACTTTCAGGGTCAATTTTTTGTTTTTTCCCTTTTTTTAAAAATATAACTTAAAATTTCTTTTATAACTAACAACTAACAGTTTGTATTCTTTTTACAAATATTTTTAAATAACTTAAACATAAAAATAAAAAATTAAAAAAAAATAAAAAATTGAAAATAAGCTATTCAGTCTTGGTTTGTTTGAAAATAAAAAGAAAATAAAGAAAATTTTAACATAAACAAGAAATTTACAACATTTAAGAAAACATAATTTTTTACAAAAAATAAAATTAAAAAAAAATAATTTTTAAATTAAATGTTTAAATCTAAAGAAGTTTTTTTTCCAAAGTAATTTCAATTTCTTCTTTTTTGGTTTGGTTATTTACACAGTTTTGCTATTTACACGTTGCAACAGTTATGTTGTTATGGAGTGTTTGATCCTTGTTTTCTTTTTTTGTTTGCAGGCTTAACAGGATAATCACACAGTTATGATGTCTGTTAAATCGCTGGGGGCTTCCGCGCTGCCATGGCGGCTGTCTACTGGAATATTGATGCAAACATTGTCACATGGCTCTTCGGGCGCCAACAAAGCCATTGAGGCTGCCACATCATAGCAGGGTGGCAACAACAAATCCGTTGCTGTCGAGGATTTGCTGACATTGGTCTGCGATGCTGATTTACATTTGGCTACTTTGCTGTCTTGCTGTTTGCTGGGGCTTAGGGCCGCAACAGTTTTTTTGTTGTCTTGTTTGCTCTGCATTACATCGTATTTCTCCCAGGAGCTCATCAAATTCGATGCCTGATGATGCACAGCCGCCAATGTGGGATAAATGAATTTCATGCCAAAGGCAAAGTGCTGTTGCTGGTGATGCAAGGCCTCATCGTAGGTGGGCAGGCCAGTGGCAATGGTATAACAGGGCGGTGGTGGTAGTGGCATACTCATTTGATAGTAGGCAGCTTCAGGATTTGCCGTGGCATCACAGGGTCCAATTGTGCCGGGATACATGTCATTGTTCAGATGGGCGCGAATGTCCTTGTCTAAAAAGGGAAAGGAAAAAAAGGAACAAGAAATTAATAAAAATTGCAAAATTGATTTTTTGGGGAGGTTGAAATAAATAAAAGGAAAAAAGGAGAAAAAATTGGAAAATTTTCAAAAAGTGGTGCCTACTTTTAGGGGCAGAAACTTTTAGTTTCCTACTTAAGAGACAATAAAACTGGATTTATAAATATTTAAAGGCAATGATCTATTAAAAAAAGTTTTGCAATACTTTTTTTTCAAAAAGTGATGCCTACTTTTAGGCGTTTTATAAAATTGTCTCAGTTATTGATTTTTTTATTCAAATAAACAAAAAATTAAGGAAATGAATTAAAAATGAAAAAAAAACAAAAAAAAAATTATTGCTTTTTTTAATAAAATGTATTAAAAGGTAGTGCCTGTTTTTAGGCGCATTGTTATATTTTTGCCTAAAATATGATTGTTTTTTAATTAAAAATCAAAAAATGGTGCCTACTTTTAGGCATTGTATACAATTGACTGAGTTATGATTTTTTATTATTATTATAAGGAAATAAATTATTATTATAAGGAAATAAATATAAAAAATAAAGAAAAATAAAAAAATGTATTTAATAACACTTTTTAAAAAAATGTATTTAAAAAGTGGTGTCTGTTTTTAGGCGTATTATTATATTTTTTCTTAATATATGATTTTTATTTAAAAAAAACGCTTTCTTAAGATTGTATTTTTTCTGAAATTATTTGTGAAATAATAAAATCAAAAACTTGTGCCTACTTTTAGGCAAAAAATCTCAATTTTTCCCATTTTATTTAAATAAAAATCCCATTAATTTTTAAATTTATGACAAAATCCCTAATACCACCAACGAAATAACTAAAATAAATCTCAACACACATGTTATCCCGCATAACATATTTCCCTGTTTTCTTTATTTGTAGACCATTTGCCACAATTTATGGCCCGGCGGCGGCCAGGTAACAAACATTTACATTATTTACAACTTAATTAAGTAGAAACCCATCGCAGAAGCCAAGAACACACAAAAAAGCCTTGAGCCTGTCAGGCTCTACATTAAGACCCACAAAACTAAAACATGAAATATTTACATAGAAAAAGCCAGGAAAGTTGTATCTCTCTTTTTTTCTGCCACAACTAATTGATTACAAATAAACCTTAATCTACCTGTTAAATAGAAACTGACAAAGTGCCAAAGTAAACATAAGCGAAAGGGAGGAAATGGGGGCGGGGAGTGTTTGTGCCTTTGGCAAGACATTAAATAGGTTAAGCCACTAAGAGCCTAAAAGTATGTTACCAAACTTACTTATTTATTCATGGCAAGGAAATTCAAAAAACAAAACGCAGTAGGTTGGGTATGGGGCAGTGGGAGGTTAGAACAATAAATTTTCGTTAAACATGTTAGGTGGCAAAGTAAACAAGAAATAAAACTTTTTTTTTGGCAGAATGGCAGCTTCTGTGTGGGAGGTTCAAGTCTAAACTAATTAGCCAAGTAAATTAGGGGAACGTTTTTGATTTTTTTTTTTTTGTAAAAAAGTTAGGAAAAACCTTTGACAGTTCGAAAAACAATAACTTCAAAGTAAGATATATAAATCAATTATTAAAAGGGGAGGTTTAAAAGTTTTTCCCCCAAAAAAGTAGACCCGAGGAAAATGTTATTAAGGCACCTGTTGCCCTGGTAAAACAGGCAGGGGAAAGAAAAGAAAATTTGCCTTAAAAGCTTTATATTTTCTTCCTTCTCTGAGTAATTTCAATAAAAATTGTGACTTCATAAAAAAGAGCAGGAAAATTGCTGTCGCATTTTTTGTTTATGCCCTGTGCCATAATCTAAGATACTAAAATGTTGTTGATTACTGTCATTTGTTGTCAGCTGGCTGCTACTGCTGCTTAAACAAAAGACTTTGGCCTTTTGTGGGGCCACAAAATTTATAGACTTTTCCGTGACAGTGAGTGAGTGTGTTTGAGAGAGATATTTATTTGGTAATATTGCGCCTTAAAATAGGCAATATTTTTTGACAACATAAACAATAGCTCCTAAAGGCTATGTGTAAAAAAGGATGGAAACAAAATCTAATTGGAAATGCCTAAAAACAAATACATTAAAATGGAAGCAGTAATGGGGCAGGGAGGGTACTTGAATTTTGCAAATAAATGGGGATTTTTGTTAAAGGCAAGTTAGGAAAAATGTGAAAAAAATATTTTTAAATAAAAAATTTTGCCGATTTAATAATTTTGTATTTTTACTAACATTTTGAAGAATCTGAAAATATTTTTTTTTTTAATTTTTTTTTTTTTAAACTTTTCCCATTGAAAAAAAATGAAAAATTGTGAAAATATTATTTTTTTTTTTCAAATACATATTTTTGGTGATTTTACAATTTTGTATTTTTGCTAAAATTTTGTAGCATTGAAAAATATTTTTTGTTTGAAAATCTCATTTGCAAATAAAAATATCCCTTGGAGGGAAATTTTTGTTTAAAGCAATATTTTGAAAATAATAATATTTTTGGCTTTCTGATGTGATTTTTAAATGTTTCTAATCAAAAACCCAAAATTTCCCTTTTGGGAAATTTTCAGGGAAATTTTTATTTTCGCTGGATTTTAATATTTTGCAAAGCAGAGACCCTAAATCAAAGAGAATTTTTCAATTGAGTATAAATAAAAATTTCCCATCAAGGGAAATTTGAAAATCTTGGAATATTTTTTTGAAAAAGTTGTGATTTTATTTGGGAAAAGCGAAAAAATTCAAATTTCAAAAAGCGTAATTCCAAATAGTTTTTTCTAATGTTTTTTCCTAATTTTCCTAAAAACTCAAAATTTTGGTTTTCATTTTCACAATATCCCTTAAAAATTTTTATTTTTTATTCTGCATTCAGAATTTTCAATTTATTTGCCTATTTTTTTCTAAAAAATTTAATATTTCTATTTTTCCTTTTTTTTTAATTTTCTAATTTTGTTTATTTCCCTATTTTTTCAATATATTTTTATTTTAATCTTTCAATCCTATTTTTTAAATTTCCTAAAATTATTTATTTTCCTATTTATTTTTTATTTCAGTCCCATTTTTAATTTTTATTTTTTCTATCAATATTTTTATTTTTCAAAATTTTTATTTAATTTTTTGGCCCTATTTTCGAATTTAGAAAATTATTATTTTTTTAAAATTTCACTGATTCTTATTTTTTTCAACATTTTTGAAAAATTTTTCCCCAATTTCATTTTTTCAAAAATTTATGTTTTTAATTTTCTCTGCCTCATTTTCCTTTCAAGTTTTCATTTTCTGTTTAATTTTTTTTTTTTGAAGAATAAATAAAATAAATACTTACTGCATTTTTTCCATTGACGAAACTTGCGATAGAAATAACAGCTGAACACAACAAATATCACGGTCAAGATGACCAGCGATGTGACAACACCGACCCACAAATAATTGATCAGCGAATTCATATCGGCTCCGGCAAAAAATCGCTCCCAACCTGACAACGTTTTCATATCGGCCATATTAAGCACGGCACTGTTTGAAATCTGTTCATGGGTAATGGGTTGACCCAAGGAATCAACCAAACCGGAGTGATGATGTTCCGCAGAAATGGTGTCATAGGCTGTGTTGCCCACCTTTTCCAGCAAACGTTTGAAATTCATCATATTATCAATGTGATGATTATCATGTTCGCTGGGCACGACAAAGGAGATTTCGGGATGATCCTTTTGCAACTGCGACATCCACATATCCATAATTGTGGGTGAAGCAGTCATGGTGGGTGCCATTGTGGGGGTGGTGGTCACTGGCGGTAAGATGGTGGTGGTATCCTCTAGGTAATCCATGGTTGAAGACATTATTGGTTTTGTTTCTTTAATTTTTTGGTATTGAATATTTTTTGGTTTTATTTAAAAAAAAAATATTTTTTTCACTTTTCTCTTCTAACACAAATCATGAATTGATTTTCTTTTGGTTTTTGTTTTCAAATATTTTTTTGGTAATTTGTTTTTAGTTTTCACTTAAAATATCTGTTTATTTTTGTTACGTATTTTTTCCAACACGTTTTTGTCGTAATTTTAGTTTGTGATGTTACGGTTTTAGGTTTGTTTTTACGGAAAATGTATAATTTTTAGTTTTCCCAAAACATGACCGTCTTGTTTGGTGTCTAGAATTAAACTGTTTTCTTCAGTTGGGCCTCAGTGTTTAGTTTCGATTCATGCCAAGCACGTTGCATTTTTTTGGACAATGCGAGTGGTGTTTTTGGTGGCACACACAACACAGAGATACAATTTCATCTCTCGCTCTCTCTCCGTCTGCTCTTTGAATTAACACACAAAAGTACCAAACAGCACAGTAAATTCAAACAACAAAGGCATTTGTTTTCTTTTTCTTTTGGGCAAAGGGAATTTTACTCTCTCTGTCTCTCCCCATCACCAACCTTATTTTCACTCTCTCTCTCCCTGAAAAGGCCCTTTTGCCATATGGCATTTGTAAAGTTATTTCTTTTGTTTTGTAACAGGTTGAAACAATAGAGAAAGAGAGCCCTGTTAATTGATAGAGAGAGAGAGAGAGATAGAGAGAGGGAGAGACTTAAATTTCCCACAACACAAAGCAATACACTGGAGTTTGTTTTTGTTATTGCATTGCATTGCCTGTTATCCTCTTGGCTGCTTATTTTCTTAAGGCATCTCTGGCTTTGGCTCTCAGAATATTTATTTTCTTAAACTCGGAGTATCTCTCTTTTACTCCCTCGTTTAAAGCACGATTGTTGTTATTGCTGGAAATGTTGTAGGAGGTAGAAGGAAATCTGCTAGGATTTAAAGTAGAATATTGCCATGAATTTAACTTTAAGTATTACTGACCTACATTCTTCAGTTAGGGATGCTAAAAACTCTTACTTTAAATTAAATTTCAGAGAGGGAAATTAAAGGGGAATCTAAAGGAAATTACGTTTTTTCTTACTTCATCTTCAACAAAAAAAAATATGAATCGAAAAAGGACCATAATGAAAATAATTTTACACCTTATACTGTAATTTGATACTTTTTTGCCTTGACATCTTGGCTTGATTAAATATTTAAGCAAAAAATTCGAATGCCATATGTTGCAAACCGGAAGAACTTGTGCTTCAGTGACCTACCATTGAAAGGTCGTTCGAAAAATGTTTGCTTAATAACATATATCTGCATTGCCATGGACATTGGACACCGGATATTTGCAGAAATGAGCAAACGGATGGCCAAAGCGGACATGGTATTTATGACAGCAAAAAAAAAACATGAACAGAATAAAACAAAATGTTTCAAGTAGCCGTTTCACAGGTGTTTTCAACAGCAAACAAATGGAAAATTATGAAACATAATATCGCAATGAAAAAATAGGATAAATATAAGGAGTAAATTATCCTTTATATCTCAGTATGATGATGGGAAGAGGAAATGGTAAAGGAGGCTAAAAATAGGATTTTTTTTTCACATTCCATAAACCATTTAATATTTAATGAGATAATCATTTTTGGGAACTTTTAACGAATGGCGCCCAAATGAAAATACGGAAATGATGAGCCTTCTTTCTATTAAGACTAGAATTATGATAATTGCAGAAAGTCTTGGACTTGAAATGATGCAAAAATATTATCTATTAGTAGCTTTTTAGAATGTTTCAAAGTGGCGCCCAAATGAAAATAAACTGAACATGGTTTTAAATTTAAAGAGATTTTTTAGAATGGCGCCCAATTAAAAATGTAGTGAGGGTTGGCGAAAAGTATTCTTTTTTATATTTAAAAATATTTATGTATATATTTATCAATAGCTATGAACCGAACAGAACGAAAACCGCGCTTCAGGTCGCCTGAAAACCTATTTCAAAAGCCGAATCCTGCTTCATAGGTAGTGTGAACCACTAAACCGAAACAATCCAAATGATTTGCAGCTATTGTTATTTCATAAGTAATGTTGTTTTTTCTGGAAGCCTTCAAAGTGGCGCCCAATTGAAAAAAGTAAAAATATTAATTTTCATTCATTTCTATCTCTTAATATTAAATGAGGTAACCTTATTAAGTAATAGTGTAGAATGGCACCCAAATGAAAATTTAGAAACAATTTCCTGAAAAATATTCTTATTTGGACTTAAGTTATTATAAAGAGGAGAGTTTTTTCTGGAAGCGGATATTCGGTATTTTGATGATTTTAGCGACATTATTCATCGGACTTGTTTAAAATTTCGTATTTGAAGTTCGTAATGGATACTACAGCCTAAGACAGAAAATTGTTTGTGCTGGTCTACGTCTTTGTATAGTCCCCATATAACGTTACCTCCCGATATCCGGTATCTTTTTGATTTTAGCAACATTATTCACCGGAATTGTTTCAAATTGGGTATTTGTAGTTCGTAATGGATAATACAGCCTAAGACAGAAAATTGTCTGTGCAGGTCCACGTCTTTGTATAGCCCCCAAAAAAGGGAACCTCCCGATATTCGGTATTTTGATGATTTTAGCTACACTATTCACCAAGTTTTTTCAAGTTTCGCATTTGAATATTATTATGGCCTATGACAAAAGTTGCCTATGCATGTCCACGTCGTCGTATAGACCCTAATATAACGGCTACATTAGGTATTTTTAAGATTTCAACAGAAATTTTAACGGATTTAATTTTTTTTGAAAATTGCCAAGTTCGTCCCAAATGGTGGAGGGTATGCAAAGTTCACCCGACCGAACTTACAGTTTTTTACTTGTTTTGCAAATTGATTTCAAGTTATAGTTAAAATAAAAAAAATCGTCGAAAAGTTAACTTTTTAATAGTTAAAATCGAATCCTGCAATATTTCGTGAAATGGCGCCCAACTGTTCTTTAATGCTTCAGTACCATATTTTTAAAGAGTAGCTCTGATTTTTTTCATTATATCAGAGGCATATTAGAAAAAAATTAGTCGGGCGCCATATATCTCGCTAGACTTCTCCGTTTTCGAAATTATCCGTTTCAGATATATTTTCAACTTTTCTACTCCTCTAACGTTCTCCCCAACTATGATTATCTTTATTCCTTATTCAAATAAAAAAAAAATCATTGCATATTTTCTCAATATTATTAATCCTATTAAAATAAACATGTTATCGAGAACCATACAAATCCCGGCAACATTGTGGATTTAAGTCATATGTTTGTTATTTCAGAATTCTAGTTGTTCGAATGGCAGAAACACACAAAAATACCATCTGTTAGTATTTTTGTTGTTCAATGCTCTCCAGGGCACTTAATAAGGAAAATAAACCAGCAAGTCGAACAATAATAAACAGAGAATTTTGTTTTCGATTTTACTCAATACGCAATGAATGCAACATTTTTTTGGGAGAGAAAAATTAATAACAAAGACTGGAGAATGAACTCATTATCCTAAATCTACCTGTTTACGATTTTGAGAGAAAGAATATTGCAATCGTTTTCAGAAAGAAAACATTAAATACTCAATGGCACAAGAAATTTTGTAATGCTCTCCAGAGCAATTCTCCCCCGAATCAAACTAAACTCATTTATTTGATGCACTTACATTCGGTATTTAACTCAACTCATTACACATGCACCTAATCTTTTACAATTTCTATGCATTGAAACCCCCATACTCCCACTCAGTACTCTCCACTCAATACTCACTCAATAAATGTTCTTCCCTTCAAGAACAACGGACACACAACATTTGCTACCTGTTTACGAGAAGAGAGAAATTTCCCACCAAAAGGGAAATTTTCTCCCTAAATCCAAATGAGAGTATGATTTTTTTCACCAAAGAGAGGAAGGGAGAATGTTACAAATGTTATTTTGCTCTCTCTCTGTTTGGCTGCAATAACCAACACGATGTGGGAAATTTCTTCAGTTCAAATGTTGCCTTGCAGGGTGAAAGGTTAATGCTTGGCGCATGAGGATGTTATGAGAAAGTGACCTGTATAAAAGCGATATTATATGGCATGAAAAATACGTAAAAATGTACTTAGGGTTTCAAGACAAAGTGACTGTTTGGAAGTCACAGACATGATTTTTGTTTCTTCTTTGGATTATTTAGAGAAATTATAGAACGAGTTACATATTCCACAACTACTTTTCTTACCTCAAGAAATAAATTGGATTTGTAAACATGGAATATTACGGCATTACTTGTTGGGAAAAGGTGGAAAAGAGCTCATATATGGGTGAGGTTTTTGAAAAGAAGATATACAACTCCGATATAGTTTCTAATTTAGATTTCGAAGCTGATATTAAAAAGATTATATGAATGAAATTTCTAACCAGTCGAATGAAATCCCTAACCAATCGAACGTTGGGCGCCATTTGACATTTGTGATAATTTTTAAAGAGAAACCGCTGTATTAACGTTTAAGAGCCGCATATTGATATAATTTTATGAAACTACTATAGAACTATGAATCTATGTGACCCCACGTTGGGCGCCGTTTTACATTTCTAACAATTTACAAATCCTTTGTTTATTATTCGATGCCGAAACGAATATAGCTACATAAAAGTATTCTATAAAACTATGGACAGGTGTGTCCCCCCACGTTGGGCGCTATTTGATATTTGTGATAATTTTTAATTTTTGGATTAATGTTTAAAATGCGATATTTATATAATTATATTATACTAATATAGAACTAAGAACCGTTGGGCGCCATTTCACATTTGTGGCCATTTTCAAAGAAAAATCATTGGATTATTATTATTTCAAGCCGAAACGAATATAACTACATGAAAGTAGTCTATAAAACTATGGACAAGTTAGTCCCCACGTTGGGCGCCATGTTACATTTGCGACAATTTTTCTAAGAAAAATTTTTGTATTAATGTTCCAAAGTCGTTACTGAGATAATTATATGAACTATTAACCTATGTGACCCCATGTTGGGCGCCATTTCACATTTGTGACAATTTTTAAGAAAAGTCAATGGATTATTATTCGAAGCCGATATTGCCACAATTATATGAAACTAACTCAAAAATCTAAAAAACT